TTTTTCTAAGTTTATTAAAATAGAAATAAACTGATGTGTGAATCATAACAAATTGTTCTACTTTAGCTTTAATTTTTTAAAGTTTTATTTTAATTATAGTTAGGTGCTTTATAGCTTGTGGAAAACCAATTAAAACATAGTAAATTAATTATTCATAATGACTACAGTGAGATTTTCAATATTCCACATGTCTGTTGGCAAATACGAAGAAAGGAAGTGTTAATTAACTAAGCCATTCCAGTCTGCTTTCAGGTCAGAAAACTTTGATTTGCTTTATTGCCAGCTATTCAGTGGGAACAGGATAAACATAACTCATTAATCTTGTAAATCATTCAGTATCATTTCATACCCTTAATATTTGTATCTTGCCAGGATATTTGGGAATTAAAATGCTATTTCTGAGATCTCACTTCTTTCAGGGTTAGTTTCAGTGAACAATATTAATAGAGTTCTGTTCACATTCACAGGAAGTGAGATTGTGAAGTCTTGAAGAGTTTCATATTTTCCTCAATACAGCAATCCATCTTCCCCTTCTGTCTGAATCAAGTGGGATATGGTTTGACTGCTGGTGGCTAGAGAAAATTATGAGCTGTCTGACACTAACAAATTGGTGTATATTGCAGTAACTGTGCCTGTTGGCTCACAGATCAGAAGCCAACAACAAACTGTGACTTCTTTCCTTAGAATATTCTGAGATTAAACGAAGTATAATCCCCAATTCAGATAAGATGCTAAATGAGCTACAAATACAACTGCCTGTGATTTGCTAGCTATATCTGCTTGCAGAAGGCACCAGCAAGTTATATTTCTAGGGTGCTGGTGGTGGGAGGTGGAAATGAATCATGATGTCTTCCCATGTTCTGTGGATTGATTCCAAAACCTGAGTGGAATACAGAAATTATTTTGCATTAAAATAAAAGTTGTTGTTGACCTTTTGAAAAGATATTGAGTTTCTAATCAAGTTTAAACAGGCACAATAGTGTACATTGTCACATATTATCTCACTGTTTACATCTATTTCCAGTTTCTTATTCTTTTTGTATTATTCCTTCTATGTTGAATTTTAGATTATAAGCCTATCAGAGAAAAAAGGATATGTTCTCTGAAATAGCTCTGTTTTTGATATCCTTCCCTTCCCTTGTTTGCCAAAACCAAATTATTCCGTCATCCCCACCACCACGACCACCATCAAAAATTCTCTCTGCCTATATTTCAGAGTCATGTGAAACATAAGGGTGCAATTGCTTCCCCTCATAGCAGGAATGTAATGTTCATACGGTTTTAGTTTCAGTTTGACTGAAGTTGTTTTAATTCTTATATTTCTTAGAAGTATTAATCATTGACGCAGATATACTCTTGTAATCTTATCCTGAGAGTTGTATGATTGAAGTGGTATAAAAATAAAGAAATAAGCTTAAACTAACACAGTGGCATTCATTGAAATGCATTACTGAGTGATTGCTACTGGCAAAAAGAGATTAAAAAATGATATGTGGTCAAGCAGCCTTTCATGACAAGGCATTGCAGTATCACTCTGAAGGAACAGAATTTTGCTCGGGAATCTTTTAAAAAAATCATAAAATGAAATGTATTTATTTAAATAATGGAATATTTGTTCTTTAGTTACTAATAATTACTGCCTATAGATTTTAAAAATGCAGTAACTAATGAAAATTAAGGTTTGTCCAAAGTAAACTAGCATGATCATAACATTTTCTAAAGTAGGATTTGGAAGATGTCATTAATGCAATTTTAGTTGATTAATTAAACTGTTTTAGTGCAGAATTATATCAAATTTCCATCAAGCTTAATTTAAATGAAATTTTGTAATTATATAAAAATTTTAATTTTATACAATTCTGGTTTATATAAAATTACAGTACTACTGTGAAGGTTGGGGTTATAGTTAGAAATGGTTATTTCATTCTTCTATTTCCTTTGTCTAAGGTACAGTTTCTGTTGTACAGCTTTGGTTTGTACAGTGCTTTTGGAGAAGCAGTGGGAAAGGTATCAGGTTTACTCAGACAAATGCTTAAACTAGAAGGCTTGTAGGCAAAGACTTGAAGACGCAGCTCCCTAGTTTTAGAAGTATTAGAGATGGTTCTATTGCTGATAGTAGCGAAGTCTTTAGTAACAAAGAGAAGCAGCATGATAAACTGTAAATTTCATACCATATATTTAGCAGACTCAAGACTGACAGTTTCTTTCCCCTATCCTTGCATCACAGCAGGCTGAGAGGCATTGATTGCTTACTGGAAGTAGTAGTGGTTTCCCATGGATTGTTATTGTAATGGACTAGTCCTGTCTCAAATCTTCTTCTGACCATGCCCATTCAGGCAAGAGTAGGCCTCTGCCTATTAGGCATGAACTCTTGAAATTGCTTTTGATGGAACCTGGCTGAGTTACTGTTATGGGAATAAAAACTGGAGGATTGTCTCCACATAAGCAACCTTGAGGGAGAGGTATTCATAATAGACTGCTTATGCTGACAGCAAAATGACAAGTGCTACGTGATGACATGGTCAGATAAATAAAATAGCTATGTACTTGCATCAAAATATCTGAAACAATAGTGTCAGTTGCATAGTAACATTATTATGTATGTAGAATCATTGTCTTCCTCTTTCCCTTGCCACCGTAAGTACCACAGTATGAGCTTCTGAAGTAAAGGCAGGCTATAATCTAATCTATAAATTAATAAAATAAATGCCTCTTTATATATTGAACCACGTATTTGGGTTATAGGGAATTAGGGGTTTTCTGTGTTGAATATTTATATTTTTAAATCTCTGTGATGTATTCCTCAAACATTTTAAAACTTTGTAGGCTTACTACAGCTTTTTCCTGTTCTTTCACCATTGCAGCGGGTGGTGTGAAGATCCATCAATACAGCACATGTGTGTATTTTTAATCGTACATGAAAACTAGCTCTGCATCAAATTCTGTTGTTGAGGCTAATATTAGTCTGCATGAAGATTATTGATTTGCTTATTATGGTTGTTTGGGTTCCCTTTCGTTCTGTTGATTGGGATAATTTCCATTTTCTGGGGGAAAAAACCCTGGTAACAAGTTGGTATTTTCATTTCCAGAAAGATTCACTCATCTTACTATTTGTCTTCATTCAAGTTTTGAAGTCATTTTAAAGAATTTAACCTTATTGCCTAGAGCACAGCAAAGATTAAGCTATATATTGGATATCCTGCACAGTTCTGTTAAATTTCTATTTCCTTTGGCAGATCTTATTATTGTGTTTACCCAGAATGTTATTTCCTGTTAATATGAGGAAGGATTGTGTTTATTTTTGATTACTTGCCCACTTGCTACTCATGTACACCCTTAGCTTATCTCTCTGCCTACATTCTTATTACTGCAGAATTTTGTCAGTAGAACTGAGAGACTTGCTTCTTATTCATAGAGCTTTGTCAGTGAAATAGGAAGTAGAACATAGAATATAGAATCATAGGGCTGGAAGGACTTTGAAAGTCTTCTAGTCCAGCAACCTGCTCAAGGCAGGAGCCTTATATGATTCCAGTCAAATGGTGGTCCAGTCTATTTTTGTAAACTTCCAGTGATGGAACACCCATAACTCCAGGAGGCAAGCTGTTCCATTGATGAATTGTTCTCACTTTCAAAAAAACCTCTTCTAGTTTGGATTTCTCTTTAACAAGCTTCCACCCATTACTTATTGTCCTACCCTCTCATGCTTTGAAAAATAAGTTGATCCCCTCTTCTTTATGACAGGCCTCAAGTACTGGAATTAATGGATGGATGGAAAAGTTATTTTACCAAGTTCAAATTTATATGTCCCCTGCATAAGATCAGTTTCTTAAAAAAATATTTTTTAAATATGCTTGACATGTTAAAGCAACAATATCTACAAAAGAATATAAATGATAGGTTTTTTTTTTATAACAGGCAAGAAGGCATGGTTAGGGTTTTCTAAAACCAGACTGTGATGGCAAAGAAGACTATTTTCTCTTTCTTTACAAAATGTAGTTTTCCTTTGTTGCCTAGGGTACCCATTTTTAAGATGTTGCTGCTGCTTAGCAATAGCAGTAGCACTTAGACTTATATACCACTTCATAGTGCTTTACAGCCCTCTCTAAAGTAGTTTACAGAGTCAGCATGTTTCCCCCAACAATCTGGGTCCTTAATTTACCAACCTCTGAAGGATGGAAGGCTGAATCAACCTTGAGCCAGTGAGAATCAAACTGCTGGCAGTCAGCAGAATTAGCCTGCAATACTGCATTCTAACCATTGCGCCACCATGGCTCTAGGTTCTTTTTCCTATTGCAGCTTTTCTTTGTCTTTTTACTTAAACAATTACTTACTAGCTTTTGGACCATAATCTTTGTCCACCAATCTGAAATTATTTGTTGCTAAAACAGATATAAAAGATATATATGTATGATTGATGTGAGTAAAAAAATTTTTGTGCTCTTGTTGAAATTTAAAATATTGAGGTATTTTAGTGTTTATTTAAATTTATGGATAATTGGAGTTAACAATACATACTGTATTTAAATGTGAACTTGGCTTAGCCGATTAGCTGTTTCACTGTTGAATGGCTAAGTATGTGAGTTTTTATTATTTGTGTGGAGGATACCAGTTACTCACTACATTTATTTTTTGTTTAAAAGTGAGAAGAAGCCTTTAAATCAATATTTTATACTGTTGATGGAAGAAGATAGAAAACTGTGAAACTCAAATGTAACCAAAATCCCTTTGTATGGCATTCTGATGGTCTTTTTGTCTTATTCTGCCCCTAAATTGTGTGTCTCTTGTTCCCTAGAAGAAATGGACCCCCAGTCCATTACAGACAATGAACAGTAACTTTGGAGGTTGAGTCATTTTCAGATTTTTAACTTCTCTTTCCATCTTACCCAATTCTACACCAAAATGTCTTTTTTGAAATACAAGAAACAAAATAATTGGTTTATTCTTTTTTTATTTGTAGTGCAGAGCTTTTGTCCCTCAACTTATATTTATTTTATTTCTAGATTGTCAGTAGAGAGAAGAAATGGGAATTGCCTGCTCCCCAGCTTATACCTTCCTCTCCAGTGAGTACTTTATCTTCATTTGCTCTTCAGATAGTATATCTCTGTTTTTCCACTCCTTCTTTCCTACTCTTTAAATAACTGAGCTCATATTAGCTATTCCAATAGATGAAAACAGGCTCATAAAGTGGTGATGTATTTCAATTGAAACTGTGATTCATGTTAGTGCCCTCCTGTGCCTTGTTCGCTTTAGTTGCAACCTTTTAATCTTTCAAAAGACTTCCTGCGTCAAAGCAATGTTTTGTGATCTGACTTGGGAAATGAAAAACACAAGAAGAGTTGTGTAATAGCTACTGAATGAATCTTCCTATCTAGAGCTTTGTAACACGATCACCTGAAAGGCTTGACACCATTTTGGCATCGGGCAGATGAGACACCTACACCCCCTAAAAAGGCAAAAGAGAGTGAAAGTCCATCTCCATCAGCTTTTAGTTTCTTAGATTGTATTACATTCTCTTATAGTTTACTGTGAACTCATGAATGAAAGGTAAACTTGGATTACAAATAGGCAATTGGGATCAGAATTTCCATCACAAGCAATGCAGTCATAAAGCACAACATTACCTGAACGCAATGCTTAGTAACAGTAATTCAAAAAGTCCCAATTGCTGGTGTCACCCGAGAACTGCATGGGGCATTAAGGGAACAGCTCAGGTGATCACAACTTCCAATTTGTTACCAGCTTCCCCGTTGACTTTGCTTATGAGAAGATGGCAGGGAAGGCCAAAAGCCATGAACAGGTGACCACAACTTCCTGTAATATCCTAATTGTCTACTAGATACTAAGCATCCAGATCACAACCTAGTATTTGCTTTAGTCAGGGCTATGAAATATCTTCAAATTATTAGATGACAAAATAGTCCATACCCCAAAGGTGCTTTTTCAAGAGGCAACTGAACTTTCTTGTTTTCCTTGGAAGAGGGTTTGTTTTTTCAGCTCTTGGATGAGAAGCAAAATGTCTTCAAAGAAAAACAAAGTCCAGTTGCCTCTTGAAAAAGCACCTTTGGGACAGCCATGATCTGGATGACTGAGAATCTTCATAGACAAAATAGTCTATACTTCAATTGCATAGGCCTTTTCTGAATAGAGATAATCCTTGCTTAACATTGCTTACAATTGACATTGCTAAACAACATGGTCATAAAGTTTTATGTCACATGATTGCATGGCTTAATGATGGCAATTCCAGCAGCTCCCATTTCTGCTGTTAAGCGAGAATTACAGATCATTAAGTGAGGAACATTGCTGCCAGATGGAATCTTACCAAAGTGACTTGGCAGCCTTTTCTGCAACTGTTCCCATTGACTTTGTTTGTGGGAGCTGGCAGGGAAGGTAGCAAATGGCAATCACATGACCACAGGGAATTGCAATCGGTGTTACTATGAGCTGGTTATCAAGTATCCAGATCGTGATCACATGATCACAGTAATGTTGTGACAGCTGGAATTTCAAGGACTGGTCATAAGTACCAATCACTCAGCATAATCGCAAAGTAAGTGGTCACTAAACAATGATTACCTGTAAAGCAGTTTGTGTCCGTGATACATGTACATGCAAAGGATAGGAGTACTAATCACATTGTCCTGTCATTTTTCCCTTTCTTTGCATAGATCCCTTTTTTGTAAGATGTAACGTAGGTTCAAAGGCAAAGGACTGTTTCTCACTATTCTTTAAAAAATGTCCTTTTACTGTTAATTTCATGATTGTTCCAAAAGATTCAATCTGGATGGATATTAGATCTGGCTTTGGTTCTTGATCATTGAAAAATACTCCTGAGTGTTTTTTGTTTGAGTCATTTATTCAAAGATCCATAAGATTTTCAGCATGAAGGACTGAATCTGAAAAGTGGCAAACATGAGTTTAGTGTAGTTTCTATTAAAAATAAAAATTGGTTTATAAAAATTGGCAATGCATTTCCATTTGATTCTTGGTTCAGATCTTTCTTCAATTGGATAATTAATAATTCTCAGATTAAATGAAATGTATTGCCTGAATGAAGGATTTCTCTGATTTCTGCACAATTTGTACTCTGTATCTATCTTATCCATTTCATTGCCATCCCATGTACAATGTATACTGTTGTTTTGCTTTTCACATATTTTCTCATTTTACTGAAATATCATAATGTTCCCAGAAGTACCCTTTGGTATAAGATCTGCTCGAGGTTTGTCTTTTGAGATCTGTTTTATGGTATTTTCCCTCCAGTCAAGGCACATTCAGAGCCCTCACTAAACAATCTGAGAGTCTTGATTTAGTTAGGAAATTTAAAGACAGAGTACAATAAATTGTTGTGAGCTTAAAAATTGAATAAAAATATACAAAACCTAATTTCCAACCCACCAGTTTTCATCATGTACACAATATATATTTATTGATTTCTACTGGATTCCCACAATGCTAAGAACTACAGAAAAACTGTCTGGATTATCATTATGTCACAGAGTCCTCCTGTGTAAGAAATATAGAAGATCTGAAAAGCTTTCTGTAAAATGGAGTGTGAAATGTAATGTAACTTCCTTCTGATAGAAATGTGGTAATTTAGCAAGATGGTTAAGCTTTGATTGACCAAAGGATTATATCTGACATAGCTAATGCCATACGTATTGGCAAATGATGTAAGGCACTTTCCTGGAACAGATTGTGTTAACATACTTTGCAGTTAAAGAAACAAATTCTACAATTACATTTTCAGTTTGGATTGTTCTGAGCTTATTTAGTCAAAAGCATTTGACTAGGCTTATGTGTTTTAAGATAAATGCTCATTAGATTTTTTGGGGGGAAAGTTATTTATGTTAAAACAACATTTCATGAAAATGCTCATGTATTTTTATGTAAAATTGTTTTTATGTAAAATTCCTTTTATCTGTATTATATGTTAATGTACACTTTGATTTTCATTCTTTCATAATATTTTTTTTTTAAGTCAATCTGATATATGTTGTCTGAAAATTATGGCCAATAATCTTTCTGAATTTTATTTGCCTGAATTACAGCAACACAATGTTTCTATTAAAATGGAACCCTATAAATTAGGCATTCTTGCAAGAGGGGCTATCTTATTATTTTTTTATTATAGTTTGTTAATAATATTCCAAAGCCTGGCTAGGCATAATATAAAAACCACTACAGTCTGTAGTTAAAGTCTTTGCTTAAAGTAATAAAAATAGTATTCCTTTATTTTATTTCCATAGAATGGATCTATACATATACACACATAAATATGTTTGTGTGTTTGTTTTTATAAACAGGTAGTCCTCGACTTATGATCACAATTGAACCCAAAATTTCTGTTGTTAACTGAGACATTTGATAAGTGAATTTTGCCACATTTTATGACCTTTCTTGCCATAGTTCTTAAGTGAATCACTGCAGTTGATAAGTAAGTAAGTTCCTTCTGGAACAACACAGAACAAGATTGCTTCTTCTCTATTTGTTCTCTCTTTGCTGTTATTTCAGTTATCTTCTATTAGATTTTTTTTTAGCTATTCTTTATGGTCATGCCTTCTGATCTTGCACACCATCTTGGTAGCTCTCCTCTAAATTCATGCAGTTTAAAAAGGACATTGAAAAACTGTCTGGTATTGACACAATATTCCAGGTGAATTTGACCAAGCTAAAATGTAATGGGATAATTACTTTTTGTGACAATTACTCAAACTCATGTTAATAGATCTCAAAAGAGCATCACACTCTTGCTTATGTTCAACTTGCGATCTACTACAACATCCAGATCCTTTTCATATCTACAGTTGCCAAACCAGGTCTGTTCCATCTTTCTATCTTTCTTTGTAATTTCATCCTGTACAGTTTGGCCATTGTTCAAGCCTATTTAGATCTTTTTGAATCTTTTCTTTTGGTTCTAAAGCATTAACCATTCCTTCTAATTTTGTATAATCTGTAAATTGTATAACTATTCCCTCAACCCCTTCACCTAAGTCATTAACTAAACTGTTGAATACTATAGGGCCCAAGGTGTTGCTTGGTGGTATCTCACTGCTTTCCAATCTGACATGGAGCCATTTTTAATGATAGAAATTTCTGTGTCTAAGCCCGTATATTAATATATGTCATACCTAATAACTTATTTTTTTAGAAGCCTTTACTGCTATTTCCTGTTTTGTTTATCTTTAATTAACTCTCTTGCATCACTGTGGAACCTGATATTTGTTTCAGTTATTGTAAGCCCTTAAAACCAATTCCATCTAGTAGTAACTTAATTATAGTGCGAAACTTTGGTTATCATTATTCATAATTGAATCATCCCATAAAATGCTTCAACAGTTATATCTATGCCAGGATGAATGTAACATTCCTATATTTTATTTTTTTTAAAAATCTAAATTAGTGGAACTAAATCTGCTTGTTCTGAATTTTAATTCCTAAATCAGATCCACAGTTGCAATTCAGGTTTTAGCAAGAACTATACTACCAAGGATTAGACTCACAGCAGAGAGCTTTGTATTGTAAAGATAAAGAGAATAATTATTATTAAAAATTATACAAATAAAGGCAGTTGATAAATGTGTATGTTGGGTAACAAACACATAGGTTGCATTGCCTTTTATGATTCCCTGAGAGCATCTTTGTAATTGACCACAATGACTTATAATAACATTGGCTGTTTGTTACCACAAAAATAGTTCCTTCCTCCTCCAATGTCTTCTCCATCTGAAGCCTGAACGGGGGTGGCTTTTCAGTTGCTTCTTTTTTCAGTTACGTGCAGAGAAATATAGAAATGCATAGCAGAAAACAATGTTCCACATTTACACTTTTTAGCATTAATCCTAACTTCTGTGGAGGGTGATGGTCTTGATTTTAGTGCTTAATTGGCCACATTGGTATATTAAGAGGTAAGTGGTGTACCTTTCTAATGTACAGTGTATGTAGAAAATTTAAAAATATGTTTCTGGAAAATCAAAGGAAGCATCATAAAACTCAATGTTTGAGCAGGACTAAAATGGTTGAATGTAGTGTTTCTAAATTAAACAAGACACTATGAATCTATCTGCAGTCAGTAATGAAATATTATGCATATTTAAATTAGAGTAATTCTTATAGGGTATGGTAGTAGAATAAATGCAAATAGGATGAACCTGTGTAGAATTAAATTTCAGAGTAATTGAAAGGGATCTAAATGTTAACATTCTTGATAAACAAAGATGAATGCCATTTATTAAAATATTTACCCTGTCTTTCATTCATGTAGATCAGGGGTTCCCAACCAGGGGTGCAAGATGATATTCCAGGGGTGTGAAAACGTGGTTTTTCAAAATTATAGTCTATATGCATAATTCATTGCCTTTATTTCAAACTTTTGTAAGGAGTGCAAGAATATATCAGAAGCATTCTAGTGGTACGGGGTATAGAAAAGGTTGGGAGCCTCTGATGTAGATCTTCATTGAGCTAATAATGTATTGTAAGCAAATGATAAATGTATGTAAAAAGTACAAACAGTAGGACAGTTGATTAAACCCCAAAACTGGAGAAGCCCAACTAGAGCAGACAGTGAATTTTTGCTCAGTTACAGTATGACATACAAAATATTGTGCTTAAATATGTGATCTGAGAACAGATGAATTAATCTGGCATTTTGAGGAAAATAATTTAGAAGTCTCTGTTCTAAAGAAGTGCTAATCAGTATTGTTTAGCTAACCATAACTACATTCTTGCAATTATTAAGTGTACTCAAAATACAAATAGTAACTCCGTTCAAAAATATTCATAACAAGTCCTTTGAGTTTGTCAATTAAACATCTTACAATATAATCATCTTCAAGCTTAAAAATGTTTGCTTAAAAATGCTACTAAGGTGTAGCGTTCATATTATATAAGGAAGAAAGTTCCGTAGGATTGGCAGAGTTTCCCTCTGTTTTGCTATCCCACACAGAGACAGAATTATCAGGTATGATGACGAGACTATCCATCCAGTTGTGTCTGACTCTTGGCAATTTTATGGACCAGGTCTCCACATCTTCCAATCTTGCACTAATTCTTTGAGTTGCTCTATGCTCTGGCTGGTATGAACTTGGATAGTGTCCAACCACCATGTTCTTTGATGGCCTGGTTTTCCTTTACGAATTACTAATAGACCTTTATGAATAACATATGTAAGATGGGAAGATTTCACTGGAAATTCAGGTGGCCAGTGAATTCTAATTTATAGAACAATTAAAGTATAAACTTTGTGTTCATATATACACACACACATACATACATTCAAAAAATGTATTACACATGAATGTAACTTTTTCAATTAAGTTGTGAAAATTATATCCCAAGAAATGCCTTGTTTTTCTTTCTTCTACTTTTTTTTGCCAGAAATAAAGCACAGATATGCAAAATCACGGCATCTCTCCTCCTCTAAATTCATGCAATCAGGATACAACTATAAGAGCTATTAATCTTCTGCTTGGGGATATAGACTTGTATCCACAATTCTGGTCAGGAGATGTATCAGCAGTTTAGTGGTAGATTTTGCATCTTTAGGTTTCTGCCGATGGTTTTATGACTTTTTCTTAAGCATGCTGCCCGAACTACCCTGAGTACAAGGGAAATAGTTTAGATGAGTCATTAGTTATTTAAAGGAATGTAAATTTTACAGTTCATTATCATGTTTTATAGAATTTGGTTTTAGAAGGTATATAATGAAAAGATAGAAAAATGTACCAAAATTTTATCATTTGTAATGCTAGTAAAAAAAAATTGCATTCAGATTCATTTCTTTTAAAATGTTGTTCCCATTTTCAGATAATCTCAAATAATTACTTATTCTTTGTACTGCAAAATACTTAATAAAAATGAAAAGTCAAAACTAATGCTTTCTCGTTGTATGAATTGCTATGAAATGGTGCCAGTCTGGAAGCCTTACTCTGTGGTTACAACTTGTCTTCTTGATGTAATCTAGCCTGTCCAGTTATCAAAATTATAAATCATAGGTTCATTTTCTTCTGTTTTACACAAAAAATCCACGCAAGATTTCCAGTCAGCAATAAAGATATTATCTTTTATCAAATGTCAATTTAATAATCTTAGAAAATTCACCCAACCATTCTTGTGGATAGAGTTGAATCTTTCCATCTTTGTGTATAAAATAATCTTGCTACAAATACCATATACAGAAACAAAATTTCATCACATTTTCCAATGGTTTGTCCATCAACCTAAAAGAAAAACGTCTGATCTCAATTATATATTAATTTTTAAAATCCACTGCATCAGTTTATTTCTTTGAATCCAGAATTTTTTAACTTTATTATAAAATTACCAAACATAATAAAATGTCCCTTCTTGTTCTTCACATAGCCAACAGAAATTTGAAGTGCCTTTATACATTCCAGAGTTTGTCTAGTGATATATATCTATGATACCTTACTTTATAAATAAGTAAATAATCTCTTTTAAGATTATAAAAAAGTCTAATTTTCAGTCTTTTCAACCATATGTTTTCCCTTTGTCGCATCTGTACATTATGACCAAAAAAATTATCCTTCTTTATCATACATTATTTCACTTGTCCTTCTGTTTTACATTTCTATAATTACATGTTCATTATTTGTATGTAATATTGTTTCAAACTCTGCTCACAATGTTCAAAACCAAGAACTCTTTGTTTACTTTAAACCATTCTAATAATTGTAAAGAAGTTAACTATACCCCATTTAACTCATGGTTTTTCCCCCACCACAAAAATTTAGAAATGTTCTTCTGCCACTGTTTAAATGGTACATCAGTTATCAAACAAGTATTGTCTGAGACAAACACATTATTCTAGGCAAGATATTTCTTTTTATCACAAAAATTCTCCCCAGAAATGACAGTTATAGTTTTTCCCATTTTAACATGTCTTTTTAAACTTTATTCTATGTCTCAACCTACTCCTTTTGAAATAACATATAGGTCATGTTTGTCATAATGATCTGAACTTTTCTAGCACATTCTATAAGGAATAAATGTTTATGAGATTATTCCACATCTTGTTTGACCAAATTCAACATGCTCCAGAAGCATTTTAGGTAGATATAATAATAATAATAATAATAATAATAATAATAATAATAATACCATCAAACATCCACATCTGCCTATCCCAGTCCTGGGTAAGGACTCGATAGGTAGACAAAATGCCAAATCCAGTCTGAACATCTGGCTGACTGTACGATGATTGAATAATAATATCTGTAATACCATCAAACATCCACATCTGCCTATCCCAGGTCCTGGGTAAGGACTCGATAGATAGACAAAATGGCAAATCCAGTCTGAACATCTGGCTGACTGTGCGATGATCCATAATAATAATAAAGTTGGAAGGGACCTTGGAGGTTATCAAGTCCAACCCCCTGCTCAGGCAGGTAACCCTATACCATTTCGGACAAATGGCTGTCCAGTTTCTTCTTTATAACTTCCAGTGTTGGAGCATTCACCACTTCTGGAGGCAAGTTGTTCCACTGGTTAATTGTTCTAACTGTCAGGAAGTTTCTCCTTAGTTCTAGGTTGCTTCTCTCTTTGGTTAGTTTCCATCCATTGCTTCTTGTCCTGCCCTCAGGCACTTTGGAAAATAGCTTGACTCCCTCTTCTTTGTGTCAGCCCCTGAGATATTGGAACACTGCTATCATGTTCCCCCTCATCCTTCTCTTCATTAAACTAGACATACCCAATTCCAGCAACCGTTCCTTATGTTCTACTTCTACCCATGATATCATAGCTGTACTAAAGTACGTACAGTCAACCAACGTGCAGCTAGCATTACTGTGAGCTTTCCATATACTTTTATCTATAAACATTGGAAAAGACATCATACATCCTTATATAATTCAGCTCATTGTTGAACCGTTTTCTAAGCATTCCATTTATTTTCAACACATGCTTTAATTTCATCATACAGAACTCTTATCACACTCAACAATAACCCTTCAGTTAGCATCTGTATTGTGAGTTATTGTCAAACATATCTAGCAATTTTGTAATTTTGAAAGGATAGTCTGTTCATTAAAGAAGATTGAAGCCCCTGCACACTGGAGTCAGTGTGTAATTATAATAAATCATGTCAGATGCCAACAAAATAGTGCATGAAAGAACAACTCATGAATAATTAATTTGGAGCTGGCTATCAATAAGCAAAGTTAAAAATGATTGTTAGTATCAGTTTTGTGTTTTACAATTAGAAAGGTGTATCATACAGAGTAAAGATTACTGTAGCAAAATTTAGCCAAGTATAAATTTTGAACATTAATTACTAATTTGTCTCTGGTTCCTGCAATTATGTGCTACTTCATAATTTCCAGTTGTGAATTTGAAGAGATACTTAATTGATAAATAGTTGCTTTAATATTATGGGAAATAATCTCGGGACAATTGGATTTAACTGACTCATTTTCTTCCTTTTCAGAAACCATATTCTTCATTTCCTTCCCTAAAGCAGAACTGGGAAGAATATCGGCTTCAGTGTTTAAAGTATCTCCGAGAAACGCCCCCTCTTGTGGCAGGTAGGGCTTCTTAAAACATATGGCAACCACAAACATATCAATCAACTTTGGAGTGCCACAGAATATTGTCTAAAAATGTTGCCAAACACTCCAAAAGCAGAGTCTTAATAAGGTTCAAACTTCAAACAAAGATCGATTTGTACACTTTCTCACATCTACCATTGAACATTTTTTTAAAAGCATATTCTAGCTATATCACAAAATATTGGGGTTTTTAGCTATAAAAGGTATTTTAACTATAAAAGACATTAGAAAAAAACAGCCTGGTTTGATGTTTAGAAAAATCTTTATCACTAGAACATTTGGTTGTATGTCTGAATTTAATCAATTCATACAGATAAATGTTTAGATCTGATTCTGAACCACTTTTTTTTTCATTGCTCCCTCTCAGAATTGCACTGCCAGTAACAGCCGTGGAGAATTATTCTTACTTGTAATAATAATAGCCAGATGGAATTAATTTCCCCTTATCTTTTTGGGCGGCTAATACTGTTAATTGTCATGGTTTAATAAAGCTGGTGTAGTTTTAACATGTTGAATAATGCTGTATGATGGTCTTTTAAAAGAGAATTTCTGCCGTATATCAATGCATATCATTTACAATTTAAAACAACATGACAAAAGATCTCTGTCTAGGACAAATACATGAAGTTCCCTGAATAATTTGATAGACCAGTAAGGACAATACTAGGTATTATGTGTTGTAAGTGAGACAAAGTGAAAGATTCCTAGGTGGTCTCAATGAAAGCAGTTGCTTTCTCGACCATACCCATAGTCTTATTTATTTAAGTCACTATCATATGGTTTCTATCTGTCGGCTGAAACCAGAAGAAATTGTAATTTACTGTCCTTGATATAGAGGCTTTTATTAGTGCAATATTCTTAATGAGATGATCAGCAATGTCTAATTAAGAATACTTAGATCTAATAGCGTAATTTTCACTTTGTTAGTAAAATAGTCGACCTGGGACCAATATTTGGTTCAATTCTTAAGATTCATTCTGAACATATAAATATATACACGGTCGACAGCTTTTGAATTTGAAGTTTTGTTAGCTGTGCTGCAAAGAATATTGCAACAATTCGTGCAATGTTGTACACTTCCTTTTTACAGTTAAGTAATTTATGATTGATAGTAGGTTATAAATGTGAAAACAAAATCTCTGAGAAAGGTTTAATTCAACAAGGAAAAAATCTAATTGAGGATTTGAACTGTTGAATTTTGAGGTTTAATTGTAAGGTTAAATCTTAAATGTCTCCTTCTAAAATTCAATTTGCTGCTTTGAAATTGTATTTAATAATAAAAAAATCAGGATCGAAATATTTCTAAAGTCTAATAATTGAACTAATACATTTAATACAATGTTATGTATTGTTTTCTTTTTCTCTGCTGATTTCTTCTAAATTATTTTCTTCACAGAAGGCAAGTTTTGCAACAGGACTTTTGACAACTATGTCTGCTGGCCTGATGGTATTCCTGGCACCTTTGTGAATATGAGCTGCCCTTGGTATTTACCATCAGGTAGCTCAGGTAAGTTACTTGCATACCAATCCTCGAGAAAGGTCAAAATATACTTTCTTCTCACTAAGATGCTAAACTTGTCAAAAGCTCAACTCCCGTCAGGCAGTGTTCTATAGCCTGTTGCTCTTCAACGATAGTACATGTAGTCCTTGATTTATGATGACAATTGGGATCAGAACCACTGTCAAGCAATGTGGTCATTAAGTGAGTCATCATGTGACCATGTTTGATTTTGCAACCTTTTTTTTGTCTCCATTGGCTTTGATTACTGGAAACCTGCTAGGAAGTTTGCAAATGGTGTCACCCTGCAATATTGCAACCATTGTAAATTCAAGGCAGTTGTCAAGTGCTTAGATCACAAACATGTAACAATAGTGACCTACAACAGTCATAAGTCATAAATTACTTTTTTCAACCCCATCGTAACTTAGAATAGTTACTAAATGAATAGTCTTAAGTATGTAGATCTATGGCTCCCTGAATTATCAGGTATGCTTGGCCAGAGATATCATTAGCTATGATCCTCAGACCTCTAGGGATTTATTATTTTAACAGATTTTCCAGAACGAGGAAAGCGTTATGATGCAATGGGTTAGATTTTAGCTGACCTATGTACTATAAGATAGGATTAGATATCTTGTGGCATTTTTAAAAATTGCTGATCTACAAGGTCCAGCAGTCTTAGCCAGCACTACCAGTGGTGAGGAATGCCAAAATTAGTGGCTTAGCAGATTCTGGAAACCCAGAAATTGGTTTAAAATATTATTGTTTCATACAAATAATATTATTTGTAACAAATAATATGTGGGAAGATGAGTCCTAGACTGGAACAGCTGTTAATGAAAATTGGCCTCAGATTGTTGCAAATTACTTGCTTGGCAGCTTTTAGGAATTTTAAGCAGAACGGTCTGATTTTATTCATTCTCTTTCAGAGATACAAATGGAAAGAATAGCCTTCTAAAAATATTTAGAAGTAAACTTTTATTTTAAGAATATGTGTCTAGAATTTAAGAATGTAAGTAAGGGATTGGGAAATCTCTTAAACACCCTGCATGAAGAATTAGAGACCTTCCCTCAAGTAGTCTGTTTATTTACTATCCTTAGGATTCATGACAGCAATTTTGGCTGCTCAGTATTAACAGCCTTCAGTGTGGGAAAAAGAACCAAGATTTACCATATTCCTGCACCTTAAATAAATTATCACAATTGGCTGCATCTTTAATATATTTTTGAAAATAAGCAAAAGCTGTGTTATGTAGGGATAGCACCAGTGTTTGGATTTCTGGTGAGTTGATCATTAAAAGTCAGTAGCTTTTGTCATTTTTTTAAAAGGCATATAATATTTACTGGAAGCAAGAGATAGTTCTATATTCCTTCAATGAAAAAAGCTAAAATCTATTAATTAATCTAGGTAATAATAGTTTCTGACCTTGATAGATTCTCCAAAACATATTTTGCTTCATGGAAGTAATTATATCTACAGTAAATGGGAGAGAAGGGATGTTTTACGTTGGAGCCCTCAAATTGGATTAGTACAATATTTCAGCACTTTCAGTTGTTAATTGTCTATTTTGATATGAAAAACTCAAGGGATTTGAGTACTGTTTTGTCCTTTTGTCCACTTGTCCAGATTTTTCCTTCTACGCCTTTATATTTTGCAGTAGGACTCAAGGCAAATCATAGTGATGCCAAAATGATAATATGCATTTGGTGATACCATCGCTCAACATTTATAAGAAATCAGAATCAGATAAAATTAGAGATAAAATGAAGATAATGATAGGTACCATTATGTGTATAATAGGAGCACAAGGAGACAGCTAATGGTCCATCTCTTTTTAAAAACTGTAAAAGAGTTTTTAAAACTTGGAAAAGAGCTCTGTTAAAAAAGATGGTTCATATAATTTGTATAATTTAGTCTTTGTTCATTTTTATAATTTAAACTCAGCTGCCAGTAACTCTGTGTTAATTAAAAAAACCTTGGAGATGCAAAGGTGATCCATTTTACATTTTATATCTCTTTCAAGGTCCAGTATAAATCCTGTAAAACTGAAATCTTCCAAAGATGCAAGTTCCCAACAAGACTTATAGGAACTATAATCATGCTTACTATTTATGGCTTTTCAGAATAGAGGAAACCCAGGATAGTATTAAATGTCCATAGAGTCCTCTGATGTATCTATATAACTTAAGCAGGATCTTTAAGACAGGGACAAGCAATGCATTGCTTCAAACTATACTTAGATTAAGAAAATGCACTGAGGGGCTGAACTGTGCTAAGACATGTTGTATGAATCATATACTTTGATAAAAGTTTGGGCAATAACATACCTTTCATTTATGTATTTATAATCAGACACGCACTTTATATTTTACTTTGGTTTATGAGTAAAAGAAGTCAGCACCACTCATAAGTGTTGTGAGAAGGGTGGTCATCAAGTTAAATGAATAGATGGATGGATGGAGAAAATAAATAAATAAATGAGGATATGAATAATTCATTAACTGATCTATGCACAGTACATATTCAGAACAAGAGGCTTTGTCTAAACAAATGTTCTTCCAAGTCCCACTACTTATAGAAAAAAATTAAAATGAAGGGAATTTTTAGATGTATCTAGTCAACATTTGCTGTGTGTTTAGAGGAGGGATATTAGTTGGAACACATGTAGAGGATCATGCCAAGTAAACAGTAAGGCTTATTTGAATTCTTATTTCACAGTAGAAGAAGCAATCATTTTGGGAGGTCCTTTCACATCTACCTGACAACACTGCTGTGCTGTACTGTGTATTTATACTGTGTACTGGATACAGCAATCTTTCAGACTATCTAGTCCCAAGGGATGTAGAACTTTTCATGTCAGAAGCAATTATATCAGAATAGGTTTAGACAGCCAGTGAAGCTGTGCTAAGGTCAATGATTTGGTTAAAGCATTCTTAGCCAGTTGACAGTTCTGAATACTTTTCAAAGCCAATCTGGGTAAATTTGTTAACTGTAGCCATTCTGGGACGTTACAGAGGCATTGTTGCTTCATAAATTTTGCATATAAAAAAGAAAATTTGTTTTTATGTTGTGATGTTAATTCACTGAGGCAAGAAATTAATACACATTTGTATGCTGCATAATATAGAATCATTCACATGGACATAAGACATAGCTATGATTTGCTCTAGATTAGTAGCTACTTGTAGCATCAGTGCAATCAGATCAATAACTAGCCAGTCCTAAATTTTGCAAATAATTTCGATTGTATCAGAACAGTGACATGGAATTATTTTCTGGGAAAGGGTTAAGTAAAGATCCATGGGAGAGATAAAAATGCTACCAAACAATTTGCTGAAAATTGTTATTTCTAAAGTCTAGTTGGATCAATGTATCCTTTTATATATAAACTGGTGAATTTTGCTTGTATTTACAGAAAAACGAATTTGAACCCCCAACTACCTGCTAGCTTCTTTCATGTATCATTATTTTAAGAGGGTATCACTGTGTTCCAGTTTCTTTAAAATATTATTTTTAAACTTTGCAGTGACCACTATCATTTTGTCATCACTATATGTACAAAGAAAACAGTGTGAGAATAACAAGAAGTATACATTAGATACACTCTAACTTACAATTACTTCAACAGAAAGTAAGTCTGTAAATTCTGTAAGCAGAGTTTGCCCAGCCTACAGGCCAGCCCTTTCCATTGGAAGCCCAATATATTGCATAAATTAGAAAAGAAAATCTCCACTATGATACCTATTTTTGTTATCAGAGGCAAAAACATTTTGTCAAGACAATCAACCACAGCCAGGAATTCAGCCCTTTCTTATAAACTTCAGATTCACAACTCCCTTTTGGAAGAAAATTGCTCCCTCTTCAGAACATTTTCTTTGTGGACAATTAAGAAGAGTTATTAAATTTGGGATAGCTTTCAATGTTCAAAATGCACACACAATGCACGGAGAGAAAACTCTACTCTGCTTCATCTCTCTCAGTGTGTCTTTCCTTGTCTGGATAAATTGTAATAGTCTATGAGTTGCTGTAATTTGTTTCAAAGATAAATTATGTGGCAATTTATTTTGAAGGACAATTGGGTGACTAATCTCCCACTATTCCTGTTCTGCAGCTGCACAAAAATACCAATCAGGTTGGCTATTTTAACAGGGAAAGCATTTGAAAGAGCTAGCTGATAAAATATTTGTGAGCCTCCTGGCATGTGATAACATAGTTTCCTATATTCAAAAGACTTTAGCCAGCTGTAACATTTGATTTGATTTATAAGCTTATCACAGAACAAGACAAATGATATTAACTCCAGATCTAACTGTTGTCCTCCCTTCTTTTTCTTTTATGTGCATATAGGGACTGCTTGAATTCTAGGCACCACTCCATATCTTTAAACATTTAATATTAATAAGGTGTAATTAACATGGAATTCTAGCATATAGACTCAAAGAGAGTTGCTTCTAAAAAACTAACTTTGTTTGAATGCATGTTCCATCAGAAACTAAAAAAAATCAAAGCCCTAGCCTAATTGTGTAGTTTTACAGCATAATTTCTGGAATATTGCTCCCCTTTGAATAAGATTTAAATGCTTATTGATTTCTCTGGTTCTAGACAATACACGAGAAAAATAAGATCCCCAAGAAGAAGTAAGAGCTTAGCAATTGGACATTAACTTAAAGTTGTTTATAGATCATCAACAAAAGTATATTCATAAAGCTACACTAACCCTCTGATAATTGGACTTAAGTCCGGAATTACATGGCAGATCTTTTATTTTGCTATGGCCCAGTACTGCCTCCTAAAACATTTGACCCTATGCTGAGAGAATAGATGGAATTCAACTTTTATTACCCAGAAAACACTCTTCCATGTAAAAGGAATCTGCCTGGGAGGTTTTAAATCATTTCTTATTTTGGTTTATAATACAAAAGTACATAATTAAAAACTATTTCAGACTACAATGCCATGTCCTTGGAATATTATTTTTTTTTTTTAGATTTTCATTGCAAAGTCAGAAACTTTATTGTAGAGTGCTCGTTGAGCTTGATTCTTTGCCTGCAGACATTTCATAACCCAACTAGGTAACCACATCAGCAACAAACTTGCATTAATTGGATAATAAAACATATGAAGTAAATAAGCAAGCAGGATCAGAGAGCAGCAAGAATTCCACTGTTAAGCCTGAGATACTTCTACTCTCTTTTCTTGAAGTTTTAAGGTGGGGAAGATGGGGGATTCTTATAAGTGTGGAATTTTTGTTGTTGTTGAAAACATCCAATAATTTATTAGTAGAGTAAGAGAAAATTTGAATCTCAAGCTGTTTCAGTTTTTTTTCCCCCAAGTTCCTAGTTCAGAAGGTTTGAACCAGCCAAAATAGAAAGGCTGGACTGAGCAATATTGTCATCAGCTACCAAAAGTAGCTGCTGCCTTATTTCTGTCCTAGATCACTGAATATCAAAGTGTAGCAGAATCTCCAGTTAGACTGGAGATGTTAAGAGAGGCCCAGAATCCTTGAAGCCTTATCTTCCAATTCTCAAGGGAACACAGTCAGTCTGGTGAGATTCTTGTAACATAGTTGACTAGCAATGAAACTCTTGTTGAAACTCTTCACAAGTGGTTCTGGTTGCTTTGGCTTGACACAAAGTCAAGTTTTACAATGAATTGAAAATGCCCTGCCAGTATATATAAAACTTTATTCTAGAATTTCCTTGTAAAAAAAAACGTTATGAACAAGAAGGAGGGTTGCTGGCGCGCGTGGGGCCCGGTGGGTGCCTTACCTCCCTGTGCTCGCCGGCCTCCCACCTCCCACCCCTGGCCCTCTTTTACTTACTTTTAATAGTTGCCGTGAAATGGTCATTCGACCCCAAATGGGGTTGCGACCCACAGGTTGAGAACCACTGGCACTATACTAAGTATTTTTGTTAATATCCCTTTGGATACAAAGTCTTGTTATTTGTTTTTAAAGGGATTTCAAAAAGCATTTCAGTAAAAAAACTATATTGGTGTTAAATGAAATATGCAGCAAAAATAATAAGCAAAAAGAATGTTAAAACCATATTATTTCAGATTAAAGAAGATTGCCTTGAGAATAATCTGAAGTTTGCTAATATTAGATAAATGCTATCAGGCAGATCAGTCATGTTTTTTGTAGGAATCCTGAGTATTGGAATATGTAGAGTAAAAATAATGGGATATTCCTATGAGCATCTACATAATGTGGGGTTTTAAAGAATTTTTGTATCCTGCCTTTATTATTATTTTTGTTATCTACCACTCTTCCTGCCCCTATTTTCTCCATAACAACAATCCTATGAGGTGGGTTGAGCTGAGAAAAAGTGACTACCTTAAATTAACCAGCCAGCTTTCAGACCTAAGGTGGGAACAGAACTCACAGTCTCCTGTTTTCTAGCTTGTTGCTTTATCCACTAGACAAAACTGAGTATTAGCAGCCTAGTTTGATTTAAAACTCAAGAATGGGTGGCATGTCCTGTGGCGTTTCTTCTTTTTAGAAATTAAACATTACAACTTTATAATTAAACATAAGATGATTTCCTTATTTGATAATACTGCAGCAAAATTTATGACATATAGTTAGTTGAATATAATGCTATATTGGCAGTACAGAAAAGACTAGGCTGCAAATTATTTGATTGTTTCTTACATGCCAGTCAAATACTACTTTTTTTATCTGGTGGTAGAGAAATTGTTTCCACTACAAATGGTCCGGTTCTGGGAATAGATTGGTTTTAAATTTATATAGAGTTAAACCTCTAGTGTACTGAGAAACTTTGCTTGCCAAGATCGGTACAAAGATTTGAAGCCCACAAATTCAATTCCACCTTTCGGGTTCCAATTTGCCTTGGACTCCCAAAAGACATAAGAAATAATTTACAATCTAGTCAGGAATGTATTAATATTGTGGGCAACTCCTGGCTAAGATTTTAACTATGTTTGGAGTTGATTTGATTGCATTTGGCTTTTCTATCACCTGCGTTTTCATTGCATGCTTGTTGCTCAGGGCAAGTTTATCGTTTCTGCACACTGGAAGGGACATGGCTGATGGAGGAGAATTCCACCAATCCATGGAGGAACATTTCTGCATGTATGGCTCCTGATGAAGTAAGCAAACAATATTTGTTTGAAGAATCTATTGCCAAAATGCTACATTCTTTGCTCTCGATGCTGTGGTAGTGTCTTAAAATAAAGTTTTCTGTTAACTGTAATAACATGGAATCTTCCATTAGTTCTTATAGAATGATTTGGATTGTTTCACAATTTTAGTGGGATTGAAAACAGGGAGATGTGACATAATATTCTTGATTGTTGTGTCCTTCAGACTTGTGATACTGATAATTGCAATAAAACGGAAGTTAGAACTTGAAAAACTTTTAACGAAACCATTTGAGTATGTGATAGTACATTGACAAAATGATATAATTTCTTCTGGTTTCATCTTCCAGGAAGATAATGAAAAAGAGAAAGGGAAATTGAATTCCACCTGCTGAAATTTCTTTGTCTTACCGCATTTCATTTATTTATTTAATTGTATCCCGCCTTTATTTTTTTTACAAATTACTCAAGGCTTTGATATTTTATTTTATAATATGTCATTTGTTTTAATTCTCTGCTATCCCGAATCTCATGTTGAATGGGAAAGTATATCATTTGTTTGAAAAAAATAAATCAATACTTGAGAAGTAATTGGAATGTAGTGAGACATGTTCTGTTTCGTGCCTTTTTGATTATTTGCCCTTAATTAGGCTAAAGTAACTAAAGAAATTCCTTTAGTTAAGGTGAAATAACAAAGTTTGCTCACTTCCTAGTATACCATGAAAATGGCACACTCCTAGCCTATTATGAATTTGGTACATTCTTATGAAGACATATCTGGATCATATCAAAGGTCATTTTGTTCCCAATGTTACCAACTAGAAGCTTTTGTGTAGGTTGCATGTTGGACAGGAGCACAATAACAATATCTTCTCAGTTATGTTAGGTCTCTAGTAAATAAAGAGCAACTTTGAAACGTAAGTGTTTACTTGCTGTGGTATAAGTATATGGGAGCTATTTTGCAAATTTAAATTAATATTGATTGAAATGCAGGAAATTCCTATCTGTTCTTTTGGATGTCTATACTATTGCTGTAAACTACATTCAGAAAAACTGAATTGTTTAATACAAGTGCAGGAGCCTTTTTCTCGCCTCTATTAGATGTTTATGAGATTATTTCACTTTTGTTTAGAAAGCTGCCCAAAAGACGCATATAGATAATAAGTTAAGTAAGTAAGTAAGTAAGTAAGTAAGTAAGTAAGTAAGTAAGTAAGTAAGTAAATAAATAAATAGAATTAAAATTATGCCTTTAGATTTAGTTGGCATTGAATTCACATTTTGCTTTAACAAAGAATCTTTTAAAATAACCTAGCTGGTAACATTGAACTCAAATGAATGGTTGCTTTCTACAAATTATGCAGTCAAAGCCGCTTAAAATCAAGAAACAGTTTTGATTTTATGCCTTTCAGTTTTTCTTTGCTGAACCATAGCCTCATCTCAAGGAACCTAAAACTAACTCTAAGATTCTAATTCAAATTCATTTTGTTTGAAATTAGCTTGATCAAGAAAGAATGCATTGATTTGAATGCCTTAATATAAAAAAGGAAACCACAGACCAATCAGTTTAACATCAATAACTGGGAAGATACTGGAAACAATAATCAAAAAACAGATCTGCAAATATCTAGAAACAAATAAAATGATAACTAGAAGCCAGCATGGGTTTGTTAAAAACAGATCATGCCAAACCAATCTTTGACAAAGGTGACTAAATTAGTAGACCACTGAAATGTTGTGGACATAATATACTTAGATTTCAGTAAGGTATTCAACAAAGTGGCCCTATCCAAGAGAATAAAATTTAATGTGGAGAAAAGCAAGGTTTTACATTTAGGCAGGAAAAAACAAAGGTATAAGAATAGATTCAGTGAAACCTGGCTCAAAAATAGTAACTGTGAGAAAGACCTTGGAGTGCTAGTGGACGATCATTTAAATATGAGCCAGCAGTGTGCAGCAGCATCCAAAAAAGCTAATACAATCATGGATTGTATAAACAGAAGAACAGACTCAAGAACACATGAAATATTAGTACTCTTTTATAAAACTCTAGTAAGACCACACCTGGAATACTGCAACCAATTTTGGTCACCATACTACAAAAAGGATGTTGAGATTTTGAAAAAAAGTGCAGAAAAGAGCAACTAGGATGATTAAAGGCCTGGAGACTAAAACATATGAAGAATGGTGGCAGGAGTTGGATATGGCTAGTCTAGAGTAAAGAAGGAGTAGGGGTGACATGATAGCAGTACTCCAATATTTGAGGGGCTGCCACAAAGATGAGGGAGTCAACTTATTTTCCAAAGCACCAGAAGGCAAGATCAGAAACAATGGATGGAAACTAATCAACTAAGCAACCTGGAATTAATTTCCTAACAGTGAGAACAATTAACCAATGGAACAACTTGTGGGTGCTTCATCTCTAGAGGTTTTTACGAAGAGACTGGACAGCCACTTGTCTCGAATTGTATAGGATCTCCTGATTGAGCAGTGGGTTGGACTAGAAGACCTCTAAGGTCCCTTTCAAATCTATTCTGATCGATTAATTGAATGTTGTGTACTGGTATGTTTGGTCAGTTTTTTTCTGTGTTTCCATGTAAAATTATTTGTTTTGCATTTCTGTCTGCTCCTTTGAAACAATCTAGGACACAACAAAACAGGAAAAACCTGGTAATTTTATTTCAGCTGTTTCTGTGTTACCCTTTTCAGGACTCATCAGAAAGACGATTGTTATTCCTTTCTGTCATCTACACCACTGGATATGCTCTGTCTTTCTCAGCCCTTATTATAGCAACTGGCATCCTTCTTTGGTTCAGGTAACCCATGTGGCTAAAAAGAATGAATTCTAGTGTAGGAAAATATCTGGTACTTGATGCTTAATTTTAAAACTTAAATGTAATGATGAATAATTAGAAGTGGTATAAAAATTAAACTTCATATGTTAGTTGGGAAATTTTCAAAGTATGAGCTTAAAGAGAAGTATATAATAAGAAGTGAAATATAGTTTGTCTTGAGTGGATTTGTGGGACAGGAAAAAAGCTGCACTATAAATAAATAAAAAGAAACCTAAACACTACTTTTAAATTAGACACAGCTAAACTGTTATGAATATTCCTTTTAATAAATTGGCAGAACATTTGTTTTGTTAGAGGTAGAAACAGAAAAACTTTTTTTCAATATAATTTTGTTCTGCTATATTCTGCTTTTAAATATGGTTTGTTATAAGTTGGTAGTAAATAAGATGTAAAGAATGCTTAAAATGTATAGTACTGTTCTGTTAAAAGAATAGATTTATGTTTATGTATTTAAAGTTCGTTTGGGTGTATGGTGTATGGTGAAAAATAATAAAAAAATTTAAAAAAAAAAGAAAGAAAGAAGGAGAAGGAGTTCCAAAGTAATGTACTGCTGCTGCAATGATGAAAGGTTTAGTCACTGAATTAAGTTTTTCTTTTTGACATGTTGAAATTTTAGTTCTCTTAACTTGATGCTCATAATGAATTTTCATTTTTGCTTATTGGGATCCCAGAAGTGAAATCATGTTCCACTTATTCCTACTGTGTGCAGGCAATTCTTTCTTAAGTGCTATATCAGTAATACTCCTCTCTTGCCTTTCAAACAATTGCTGGTAAATAGCATGATTTCTCTTGATGGTAATAGATGCTTCTGTCACAATCTCCTGCAGAAATGTGCAGAGCAATTAAACTAAGCCTGTTTTACACAATGGGTTTTTAAATCTTTACCTACGGGACTTAAAACTCAATTTTAAGGCTTTGTTTTTAAACCCTTTTCTTTTAATACTATAGAAAATGGTACCCCATGTATAGTTCAGCATGTTTTTTTTAGTATCAGTAGTTTGCTTTCTGTTTCAGAAATGAGAGCAGCCCACAAATTCATTTTTAACTCTACAGAGTAACTAGCTCATGTACACATTTCATTTTTGAACAGAGCTCCCTTAGTTCCTCACTTGACAGTCATTACAGCCTACACGTCTTCAAGTGAATTTAAGCATCATAATTATATTTACAGGCATCTGCATTGCACCAGGAACTACATTCACTTGAACCTTTTTACTTCATTTATCCTACGTGCTGTGTCCATCTTCATTAAGGACTCCATGCTCACATGGATGTACAAGACAGCTCCTCGTCAACAACAGTGGGAGAGTGTAATTTCCTACCAGGTATATGATAAGGCTAAAAATATTTTCCTAAACAGAGGTATCTGATTGCAATATATTTGCATTAAAGTGTACATTTACTTTTGGTGGAAAGCTTGTTAGATTTACATATGATTATAGATGAAAATACTTAAAATAGAAATCCCTTTCAGTTCCCTTACGGATAAGATTTCTTCTTCACTTCCATTTTCTTTTATTATTTTTTTAACTTTTCAGAAGTCTAAAAGCAACTGTTAGTGCTTAGATCATCCTTAAAATGGTAAATCTTGATAACATGTCCAACACCTGTGCTTTTTAATTACTATCCTAACAAATATGATTAGAAATAGTCCTTGAAAAAGATACCATTTTTCTCATAATAAAAACATTGAAATACCACATAATACTGTCTAGCCCAGGGTGTCAAACTGCCTGCCCATGGGCCGGGTGCGTCATGGTGAAACCGTGCCCACCCCATTGCCGGCAATGGAAAAAAGTTGCAACACGTCATGTGACGTTGAGAGTTTGATACCCCTGGTCTAGCCCCATTCCAACTCTATATAAATCAACCCACTTTTGTCTGAGAGAGGAACCAGGATGTAAGGTGTAATTGGAAATGTAGTCACTAACATTTTCAGAAGAAATGGTAGCTCTTATTTTTATTCAAAGTTTTATTTTTGAACAATGGCTTATATTCTGAGAAGAATAAACCCAAAGAAACAGACAGAAGGAGAACACACTGCCCTTCCGAAATCTCTTCAGAATATGATGAGGCATAAGCTCCTGCAGGGTTGAAAAAAGGGAATTTATGTATTTTGGCAGAGGCAAAGTTTTGCCTTCACAAAGCATCTCTGCATCCTTTTCTGGCAGCATCTGTTGCCACAATCCAGATTGCTCAACTGAGGTCTCATATCTTGAGTGATGTGTGTGTGTGTGTGTGTGTGTGTGTGTGTGTGGAAGATGAGCATAAGCAGGGCTTTTTTTCCTCATAGAACGCCCAGAATGGAGTTCCGGCACCTTTTTTGGCTGGAACCTTGTAGGGTCGGCAAGGCGGGTTGTATGACTTGTGTGAGTTCCAGCACCTTTTTTTTTTTTAGAAAAAAACCACTGAGCATAAGGGAAGCTACCTCTTGGGCAGAATAGAAATGTCCCTTTGGACATGGATGAAAACATTATAATGCTTCAAGGCAGCTAAGAAAATAGATTAAATAAGCATGGTAAAGGGGTGAATAGTGAAGGAATATCTGCTACTGAATTTGATTATTTTTTAGCCTGATGTTGACAGTCTCCAAAGATTGCTGCTGTATTATCAAACCTGTGAGGGCATTGTGGTTTCATGTGCACTTTAGATTTTTTTCTGGTCTGCGGCACCTAAAATATTTACTCAACTCTTGCTCTCTCAGGAGTCACTTAGCTGCCGTCTGATCTTTGTGATGATGCAGTATTGTGTGACTGCAAACTATTACTGGCTACTGGTGGAAGGAATGTACCTGTACACTTTACTAGCCCTCTCAGTATTTTCTGAGCAAAGAATCTTTCGACTTTATCTTTGTATTGGCTGGGGTAAGTAGGATTTCCTGCCTCTTTTTCAAATATGTATTTCTTGGTTTAATATTTTAGGAGACGTGAAATGAGGAAATACTGCTTTTTATTACAAAGACATATTGATCTTTGGATCCACTTTGTCTGCTTTTACACTCATGAAGAGTCTTTTAATAAGAACATGCTCAGAAATAATGCAGAGGCCTTTCTGAATTCTCTAGCACCATCAGTGAGGATTATATTGTAATACTAGCATTACACTTAGTCCCCATCTTACAACAGTTCATTTAGTGAGCTTTCAGAGTTACAACAGCACTGAAAAAAGTGACTTATAGCCATTTTTCACACTTATGACCATAGCAGCATCCCCATTGTCACGTGATTTACATCTGGATGCTTGGCAACTGGTTCACAGTTACGATGGCTGCAGTGTCCTGGGATCATGTGGTATAGATCTCTGTTTCATGGCTCAGAGGCATTTTTTTGTTATGTTTACTACCATGTTGCCTTATATAATCAGGCAAATCTTTAAGATAATATATAATGCTTCACTGTAAATATACATTATCTGGTAGCCTGTCATTTCATTAATCAAATCATTTTTAAACAGTGATATATTTCTGCACAGGTGCAGCATATACAAGACAAGCTTCCCAATAAATTCTGGATTGTAGAATCAATGTAGATTCTTATTTAATACAGTCTAGCCTATATTGTGTTAAATGCCAGTGGGGTACAATTTTAAAATACATCTTGAATGGATTTGATGGGGTCTTTTCTCTTCCACAGTTTTACATTCCTATGTGAACATTCTAAATGAGTACACTATAAAATTCTTCTAAACGATCACCTGCATATTATTTATGTGATCCTTCCAAGTACACATAATGTATGGAGGATGAATATATTGTGTTCTGTCACAACCAATAATCAATGAAGTATTCATAAGAAAATAAATTGGGCTGTTCTAGTAAAGTTGTATAGATCTAATAACAGTCTACTTGCTGGAAGTTATTTAAAGTTATAGAAAGTAAAAACATGCAAAATGATGAGCCCTGTACTAAAATTATTGAACAATTTTCTAAGAAAGTTGAAATGGAAGGAAAAAACTATTATAATTGTTTAGCAGAGACACAACTGCATTACAAAAAACATAAAAATATTTCTGATTGCAGATTATATTTAGCAATACTTTAATTCAGTGGTTATCATCCAGAAAGCTAACTATACGTTCTGAACAGAGACCGTCTATGCCTGATATGAGCTGGAAACAGAACATTAAATGAAGCAAAAGGGATTGCGTAATTTGTTTAGAACAAAAAAACCCAAATTATCTTTGTATACAAGGAGTTCTGAATCATTCACAATTACCCTGCTGTGATCAATAGACTGAACGTACTGTAGTTATCGTCTGTTTTCTTTATTGAGATGATACTATCGTAAGACATAAGTTTTAAAATCCCATTTTATAGGCATAAAATAAGCTATAAAAGTCAACTTAGTTAAACAAAAATAGAATTTGTCCCTTACTTTTGTGTATGTAATAATTCAGTCTAATTTCTGATTTCTATAAGGAAATATATAAAGTGAGATTCCCTGTCTTCCAACTTTCCAAATTACCCAAGACCACCATGTTTTTCAGTGTGCCATTTTGCAGCAAATCCCAGACCCTAAATAGCAGAAGTCACTAAATGATATTTGAACATTTTAGTGGTGATCCATCCTGTTTTTATTTTTTTTTTCCCTTTAGAAAATCATGCTCATTTTATACTCAGCTTATGAGAGATTTATTTCTCCAGGATTAGAAGCATGATCTTTTTGCAGTAAAATAAATTGAAAAGCAAACTGCGGTGGGTAATTCTTCTTGACTTGGACTGATTATTGAACAACCATTTATAGTTATGACGGCATCTGAAAGAGTGCTTTACAGCCAACTAAGCACTTCCAGCTATCGTAAAATGTCACACTCCACTCCCACGGTCATGTAACCACATTTTGGGTACTTGGCAACCTGTTCCCACTTACAACTGGTTGCCAAGCACCCTGTGATCATGTGATTGCCATTTGCAATATTTTTGCTAGCTTTTCCAAAATTCTGTAGGATTTTACAAATCTTCTGTAGAAAGACTGCCCCCCCACCCCCACTGCTGGGTGTACCTGTCAGGAGTTGCAGAAAGATGGAAAGGTAAGCTATGCACTTCTGGACCCTGGAGTTGGCTAAGTGCTCCCATGTGTGGCTGAATAGATGGGTGGGGAGCAGACCAAAGGCCTCCAGGGCTATGGCAGCTTTGATGTGTTAGCAGGCCCTGAAGCTGAGTGAGGGCTCCCATGTGTGGCTGAATGGCTGGGTGGGGAATAGACTGAAGTTCTCTGAGGTTGAGGCAACTCTGGAATTGGCCAAAGCTTCCTGTTCCATGACATATTTTCATGGGCTGGTGGGTCCTGCCTGCCCTGTGGTCTCCCTCACATCCTGAGGCATCCCCACACTTCACTTAATGATTCATGTAGTCACAATTGGATGATCACATGATGATCCCAATTAGATGAGCAGGGATTGCAGTCATTGTACAAAGTGATCATATGGGCATCTCACTTAATGACTGCTTCACTCAATGACTAAGATTCTTGTGGTTGCAAATTATGGACTACCTGTAAGGATAACAGACACAGTACTCAACTAATTCTATAGAAGTTATTATATGGGTCAGGTACTATTAGACAAGTAGGAATTTTCTAGCATAAAATATATACTTGCATTTAAATCTGTGTTCATTATATACAGGTATATAATAAGATATGTTTGCTAAGGTGTGCTATGTGTTAGTAATACTTTTTGAGCTACTGCAGATTATATGATTTGAAGGAACAGTATTTGTGTGGAGGAGTTTTGACAACATTGTTTGCAGTTGATTAATAAAAATTGTAGATCTGGCCTGTAATTGAGAAAATGCATTATACTTCTTTTAACTGAAAACAATGGAAGATCATCCTGTAAGGGTTTTTTATCATCTTCGGACTCTGGTAATTCATGAATAACCAATTACCAATTAACCTACTTTTGTGAAAATGTAGATGTTGCTTTTTGGGGAACTTTCCTGGGAAAAAATTCCTTGCATGGAAAAATGTTAAGGTTATAATGTAAGAGTTTCTTCACATGGAGATTTGCACAGTGTTGCCTATACTGATGCTGTTTATTTTAACTCTGGTAGAGTCATAATTGATTTCCATTTAGTTGTCTTTTGGGATGACTTAAATGTCCAATGGTACTAATCAGAACTGAGTTACTTATTTTGTTCTGGGTTAGGGTTCCCTGTATTTCCTTCTCTTTTTACTATTACTGTTACATCCACTATTCCATGATTTAAATAGATAATTAAATAGGTAAATTCAACATAGCATTGATAGCATTGGGTTTGATTGTTGTTTGGGTTATGCAGCAAATAACTAGAATTTATTACCTGAACAAATGCAAAATACAAGAGAATTTCTAGGAAAGAAAATGTTTACATGAACATTTATACCCTAGCAATCTTTTTATTAAGTCCTATTATAAATAGATAATTTCAAAAACTTATTTTTGCTAATACTATATAGTACTCTGGAGTTTTGTATTTAATTTAATTCACTTCATGTTAAAGGAAATGTTATGTATAATTCTGCTTATGAATGAATTGATAGGTTCTTACTTTTATAATCAGAATCCTGGCTTTAATTTCATAAATAAGATGTATACAATTGCATTTTTTCTGCAAAACAATCTTGGAGGCTACTAAGACACATGCACACACAGCAACTGTACAGATAAATTTAACAAAGCACTGTTCCCAATGCTCTCCTACTGATGCTGAGTGTTTAGTAATATGAAATATCAAGGCAATAAGATGAAAGATAAATCTTAAAGCCCAAACAGACAGTCACATAATTTAATTTTGATTCAAGGCTCATTTGAAATAGTTTCCTACAAGGAGTGGAAAGGAAAACTCAGAAGACTTTCTCTTTTTGTGTTGGTAAAAACTTGCTAATGACAAACTGCCCTTCATTTGAATGTTAACAGATAACCGAAAATGGGTATTAATTTAGTAAGATATTTAGTAGAATAAATGTGAAATGGGATGTGTATTTTCTTTCAGTATAAAAGAGAAAAATACACATTTCAAATAAAACATACTTTGTTTTGAAAACCAATTATAGATTGTATTCCTTAAAATATATTTGAAGAGCTTCTTAGCTAAGAAGAGGATGAAATTAGTTCAGAAAAATAAAAATTGTGGAGGAATTCTGTTGCATAGAATACAAAATAATAGTTTTAATATTTTTAAGCTCAAATAGGAAAAGGAATGAAGAGAGAAGTTGAAAATAAGTGATTCATGTAATCACTTTAATGTAGTCTATACATATAGATATATAATTCATATTCACCAACCATTAACTAAAGCACTTTTAAAACAAAGTTTTGTACAGCTTTTTATTCTATTATTAATCATGTTTTCATAGAGTAACAAAATCAAGAAAGAAACAACTTTTGGAATTATTCCACAATTATTTATGAATAAATGGGAAATCTCATTTGCCTAATTAATGCTGATTCTCTACAAATAGACAATATGTATTACACCTTTGAAAAAATATTTTAAAAAAACTTTTCTCATCTTTGGAATTTTCCATTGTTCCTTGATTTTTCATTTCACCAACATTTTCTTTAACCTTGAGTAATTTGTTCTAATGTTAGTAGCCTGTACAGTTCCTTTCTCTTGGAGACATTAATGTTGCACATTTTTATAGCATTCTGTACTTCATGTTCAACTATTATGCATTCTTGTATTTTACTTAAATAAAAACTTAATATGTTCTTAGACTCCACAGCACAACAGCCTATTTTTATATGATTAGCAAGTATTGCTTATCTCGTAGAAATTATGCTTTTTGTTATGCAATTCTGGAACCTCTCAGCTGATAATATCTCGTACCCTTAAGAATTCAATTGATGGTCCATGTTTTGCCAACATTATGATTACTTCAAA